TCATCAACAGATAAAAATATTATAATATTTTTTCGAAAGTTTTTGCTTAAAGTTAGCAGTACAAGATAAGAACCTTTGGTTGTTTTAGCATCAGTATTTGACTGTAATTATTTATAAACATGATTTGTGTCATAAACATGGCTACATACATATCATACCTACATGTATGCAGACTATATAACATGTATATTACATGTAACAAATTGCATTATGGGCTGGAGGCCTAATTACTGAATAAATCATGTCTTGTCTTGATTGTAAAACCAGTTGAGAACATATAAAAGAATTCATTATAATTCAACAATACAATATAAGAATTGGCTATAGATCACCAGCATAGGCCACCATATAAGGGACCGTGGGGAATTCTACTACCTGCACGGTTCCTCTGCAGGATTTACACAATCACTTCTACCCGTGAAGATCCGGGGTAGAATAGGTCTTCAGCAACCCATGCTTGCCGTAAAAGGCGACTATGCTTGTCGTAAAAGGCGACTTACAGGATCGGGTGGTCAGGCTCGCTGACTTGGTTGATGCATGTCGTCGATCCCAATTGCGCGCTCATGATATCAATCACTGGATTGTATGGTCCAGACTCGATTATTTACAGACCGCCGTGATATAGCTGGAACATTGCTGAGTGCGGTGTTAAACAACAAACCAACCAACCAACCAACACAATCACGCAATGATACGGAATTTAGCCATCAATTAAATAGTAAAAGCAAATTAACATATTGTTTTTGTATAAACGCAATCACCCTTTTCATAATCATGTGAAATCAACAATATTGTTTAAACAAGCTAGGATAGAAAATGGATTGCAATCGTTACCAGCCCATCGCCAGAGTGAGTGAGTGAGTTAAAATTTAACGTCGTATCGGCATTATTTTAGCCATATAGCGACGAGACGAGACGAGCGTTAATATATTTACAATGTAGTTATTTAAGTTTTATTTAAAAAAAAGCTGTGAAACATATTTGAAGATACAATATTTAGAAAATAATTATGAAACATATTTAAGCATAACAATATGATGTATACAGTTTTAAAACACGGACTATAGGCCACCAGTGACCAAAGCTAGGCCACCTCGCTGGCGATCATGGGGATTTACGGTACCTCTGCTTCCTGCATGAAACCCCTGCAGGATTTACGTCATCACTTTAGCTTCTGGTGGTTATGCACAATACTAGCTAATATTAAAAAATACTCAGCAATGAGTTGGCTTAAAAACACTGGATGATGATAGTTACATCGATTATGATAGGATTACATGTACGTGTCACACAGGGGGACAATAATTTTACGATGCTTTAATCCCCCTGACAGAGACTTCAATAATGTCAGTTAATAATAGCATCACACCAAATTTAAAAACAAGCATTTATTTATTCACATACATATTTAAAATTTATATAGACCAATTTCTTTCAAATAGCTGATAACAAAATGCCCGCTGACACAGGAAAAAGAGATCTTTCAGATTTACGCTTGGATAATGTGAGGGATATATTCTGTTTATATCTGTATGGCATTTCTATTGCTTTCCACTTTCAAAATACTTGATCACATGTCTAAATCGCCCATATCAAATTGGAATACATACCACCTTCATTTCATCGTCAGAATTTGTCATCAACAGACAACAACTTTTAGACTCCTATTAGCTTTCTAATTTCAAATACTATATACTACAAAATGATCTATTTTGCAGTTATCACTTCTTGGTCCGAATGGACTGATAATGGAACTTGCTCAACGACCTGTGGGCCTGGCACACAGATGCAGTTTCGGAACCGAACCTGTACCGCTAATTGCCTGGATGACTTCACATCAGTTGAGACAAGAACAGTCGAGTGTGAGATTTGTCTATGCCCAAGTAAGTAGAAACAAAAACTATGTACAAAGCAATTAATGGGGAAATGTGCTAGCCCCCTGACAAACCATACCGCCGTTTGAAATGCGACTCCGGGCCACTCAGTCCTTGTTTAAGCCCCTGCGCCGGGCAAGCAAGAACTAGAACCATCTTTTTATGCCTTTTGGTATGACCATCGCCAGAACTTGTGTCATTATCTTCGTATCCCAATTGCGTGGATCGATGCTCCAGACTCAATAATTTACACAGACCGCCGTCATATAGCTGAAATATTGCTGAGTAGCGGAGTTAAACAACAAACAAAAACAAAAAAATGATCTAGAAAATCAGCTATACAATTTGAATACAGACTTACTCAAGTCATCGCCAGGACTTGTGTCATCAACCGAGCACATGTTCAAAGTCTATGTCCGTGACCGCCTAGTAGCTTTTTTTCATACAAAACCTTGATGTGTATTGTGATCTTGATTCCCTTTGCAGCCATCAGCTTGTGGTCCGAATGGACTGATGAAGGATCTTGCTCAACGACCTGTGGTCAGGGGACACAGATGCAATCACGCGACCGGACCTGTACCAATTCGACCTGTTGTCCGGCCAATTTGGAATTAAGCCAGACACAAAATAACACGTGTGAGATTTGTCAATGCCCAAGTGAGTAGGAAAATTCTTTGTACAAAGTAATAAATGGGGAAACGTGTATGGTATGTAAAGCAACCAAAACACAGTTTCTCAGCATGTCGATTGATATGATTAATGTACAACGCCGATATAACATCACATTTAGTTTGTTTCTCCATAAAATCAAATCCTCATGACATACCACCCTTAACAATACTGAGAGGACATAGCAACTATTTGCGATGTTTTGCCTAGAAATCCAACTAAAACACTGAGGCAATCATCAGGGATATGTACATATATGAGTGAGTGAGTGAGTGAGTGAAATTTAACGTCACATCGGCAATATTTCAGCCATATCGTGACGAAACAGTTGACTGCGACCTTTTTCGATGATTCCTAATATACAAAGCGGAAATAACGTCACATTTATTTTGTTTCTCAACATGGACATACCACCCTTTCCAACTCATTGTAAGAAAGGCGTATATTCTTATACCAACATTAGATTGTATGATGATATCTTGATCTGGAAAATCAGCTATACAATTTGAATACAGACTTACTCAAGTCATCGCCAGGACGTGTGTCATCAACCGAGCACATGTTCAAAGTCTATGTCCGTGACCGCCTAGTAGCTTTTTTTCATACAAAACCTTGATGTGTATTGTGATCTTGATTCCCTTTGCAGCCATCAGCTTGTGGTCCGAATGGACTGATGAAGGATCTTGCTCAACGACCTGTGGTCAGGGGACACAGATGCAATCACGCGACCGGACCTGTACCAATTCGACCTGTTGTCCGGCCAACTTGGAATTAAGCCAGACACAAAATAACACGTGTGAGATTTGTCAATGCCCAAGTGAGTAGGCAAATTATTTGTACAAAGTAATAAATGGGGAAACGTGTATGGTATGTAAAGCAACCAAAACACAGTTTCTCAGCATGTCGATTGATATGATTAATGTACAACGCCGATATAACATCACATTTAGTTTGTTTCTCCATAAAATCAAATCCTCATGACATACCACCCTTAACAATACTGAGAGGACATAGCAACTATTTGCGATGTTTTGCCTAGAAATCCAACTAAAACACTGAGGCAATCATCAGGGATATGTACATATATGAGTGAGTGAGTGAGTGAGTGAGTGAAATTTAACGTCACATCGGCAATATTTCAGCCATATCGTGACGAAACAGTTGACTGCGACCTTTTTCGATGATTCCTAATATACAAAGCGGAAATAACGTCACATTCATTTTGTTTCTCAACATGGACATACCACCCTTTCCAACTCATTGCAAGAAAGGCGTACATTCTTATACCAACATTAGATTGTATGATGATATCTTGATCTGGAAAATCAGCTATACAATTTGAATACAGACTTACTCAAGTCATCGCCAGGACGTGTGTCATCAACCGAGCACATGTTCAAAGTCTATGTCCGTGACCGCCTAGTAGCTTTTTTTAGTACAAAACCTTGATGTGTATTGTGATCTTGATTCCCTTTGCAGCCATCAGCTTGTGGTCCGAATGGACTGATGAAGGATCTTGCTCAACGACCTGTGGTCAGGGGACACAGATGCAATCACGCGACCGGACCTGTACCAATTCGACCTGTTGTCCGGCCAATTTGGAATTAAGCCAGACACAAAATAACACGTGTGAGATTTGTCAATGCCCAAGTGAGTAGGAAAATTCTTTGTACAAAGTAATAAATGGGGAAACGTGTATGGTATGTAAAGCAACCAAAACACAGTTTCTCAGCATGTCGATTGATATGATTAATGTACAACGCCGATATAACATCACATTTAGTTTGTTTCTCCATAAAATCAAATCCTCATGACATACCACCCTTAACAATACTGAGAGGACATAGCAACTATTTGCGATGTTTTGCCTAGAAATCCAACTAAAACACTGAGGCAATCATCAGGGATATGTACATATATGAGTGAGTGAGTGAGTGAGTGAGTGAAATTTAACGTCACATCGGCAATATTTCAGCCATATCGTGACGAAACAGTTGACTGCGACCTTTTTCGATGATTCCTAATATACAAAGCGGAAATAACGTCACATTTATTTTGTTTCTCAACATGGACATACCACCCTTTCCAACTCATTGCAAGAAAGGCGTACATTCTTATACCAACATTAGATTGTATGATGATATCTTGATCTGGAAAATCAGCTATACAATTTGAATACAGACTTACTCAAGTCATCGCCAGGACGTGTGTCATCAACCGAGCACATGTTCAAAGTCTATGTCCGTGACCGCCTAGTAGCTTTTTTTCATACAAAACCTTGATGTGTATTGTGATCTTGATTCCCTTTGCAGCCATCAGCTTGTGGTCCGAATGGACTGATGAAGGATCTTGCTCAACGACCTGTGGTCAGGGGACACAGATGCAATCACGCGACCGGACCTGTACCAATTCGACCTGTTGTCCGGCCAACTTGGAATTAAGCCAGACTCAAAATAACACGTGTGAGATTTGTCAATGCCCAAGTGAGTAGGAAAATTCTTTGTACAAAGTAATAAATGGGGAAACGTGTATGGTATGTAAAGCAACCAAAACACAGTTTCTCAGCATGTCGATTGATATGATTAATGTACAACGCCGATATAACATCACATTTAGTTTGTTTCTCCATAAAATCAAATCCTCATGACATACCACCCTTAACAATACTGAGAGGACATAGCAACTATTTGCGATGTTTTGCCTAGAAATCCAACTAAAACACTGAGGCAATCATCAGGGATATGTACATATATGAGTGAGTGAGTGAGTGAGTGAGTGAAATTTAACGTCACATCGGCAATATTTCAGCCATATCGTGACGAAACAGTTGACTGCGACCTTTTTCGATGATTCCTAATATACAAAGCGGAAATAACGTCACATTTATTTTGTTTCTCAACATGGACATACCACCCTTTCCAACTCATTGCAAGAAAGGCGTACATTCTTATACCAACATTAGATTGTATGATGATATCTTGATCTGGAAAATCAGCTATACAATTTGAATATAGACTTACTCAAGTCATCGCCAGGACGTGTGTCATCAACCGAGCACATGTTCAAAGTCTATGTCCGTGACCGCCTAGTAGCTTTTTTTCATACAAAACCTTGATGTGTATTGTGATCTTGATTCCCTTTGCAGCCATCAGCTTGTGGTCCGAATGGACTGATGAAGGATCTTGCTCAACGACCTGTGGTCAGGGGACACAGATGCAATCACGCGACCGGACCTGTACCAATTCGACCTGTTGTCCGGCCAACTTGGAATTAAGCCAGACACAAAATAACACGTGTGAGATTTGTCAATGCCCAAGTGAGTAGGAAAATTCTTTGTACAAAGTAATAAATGGGGAAACGTGTATGGTATGTAAAGCAACCAAAACACAGTTTCTCAGCATGTCGATTGATATGATTAATGTACAACGCCGATATAACATCACATTTAGTTTGTTTCTCCATAAAATCAAATCCTCATGACATACCACCCTTAACAATACTGAGAGGACATAGCAACTATTTGCGATGTTTTGCCTAGAAATCCAACTAAAACACTGAGGCAATCATCAGGGATATGTACATATATGAGTGAGTGAGTGAGTGAGTGAAATTTAACGTCACATCGGCAATATTTCAGCCGTATCGTGACGAAACAGTTGACTGCGACCTTTTTCGATGATTCCTAATATACAAAGCGGAAATAACGTCACATTTATTTTGTTTCTCAACATGGACATACCACCCTTTCCAACTCATTGCAAGAAAGGCGTACATTCTTATACCAACATTAGATTGTATGATGATATCTTGTTTTGGAAAATCAGCTATACAATTTGAATACAGACTTACTCAAGTCATCGCCAGGACGTGTGTCATCAACCGAGCACATGTTCAAAGTCTATGTCCGTGACCGCCTAGTAGCTTTTTTTCATACAAAACCTTGATGTGTATTGTGATCTTGATTCCCTTTGCAGCCATCAGCTTGTGGTCCGAATGGACTGATGAAGGATCTTGCTCAACGACCTGTGGTCAGGGGACACAGATGCAGTCACGGGACCGGACCTGTACCGATTCGACCTGTTGCCCGGCCAACTTTGAATCAAGCCAGACACGAAATAATACGTGTGAGATTTGTCCATGCCCAGGTGAGGAGAAGTTGTAAGTAAAACAGTTACATTGTGCTATGCAAGTAAAATACGTTGGCTGCACGTATTGATTAATAACTTATAACCAACGAAGAGAGACCTGACTTTGTGTTTTCCGCTATGGTCTACGGCAAAGATAGTACTGCATACTGATAGTAGAAATCACCTGCGCACCATGGCAAGATGTCGACCCGGCAGCTACATGCATGGATATGAAATGTATAAGGGAGTATAGCGATATCCACTTTACAGTCACAGAATCGGCCACCACAATCTTACTGGGATTTATAAAGGTTGTGTGGTATTAACATTATGTCAGGTCCACGTATGGATGGTGACATTTATTAGGGAGTATAGCGATAAGAGTTTTTCAGTCCCAAAGGTGGTGGTGAGGTGAAATGGGGTTGCGTCCAAGATTATTGCACTTATATAGCGACGTGCATGCACGTGTATGTGTGTGTGGCTGCTTGTACTAGTCCGGACTGATGCCGATTTATAGTGCTAGCTCACTGAGATACCATGCCGCAGTTTAACATGAATACCCCACTCAGACACAGTATACTGACCCTGAGCCGACCAGTCCTTGTTTTAGCCCCTTAATGCCGAGCGCCACACAGGGCAACAACAAGTACCATCTTTTAACGTCTTTTGGTATGACGCGGCTGGGGATCGAACCCCGGGCCTTCCGCTCTCCGGGCGGTCCCTCAGTCCCAAAGCAAAGAAACGCAAGGCAATACGGGGGGTAATCGGCAACCTCAATATAAACGGGATTTATGAAGGTCATAAGGGTCATGTCGCGAGTGTCAGCAAGAAATGGTGTGGGCAACCCATTTTCAGAAATCATGATTCGAACTTTGCAATCGATCAATACTTGCTGTACGAAGGCTACAAATAGACTTTCGATTTCCAAAACTTCTTGTCTTGATTTCATATTCAGTGATCGGCCCCTGGTGCCCGTGGGGTAATACTTGTCCGTGTTCAGTGACGTGTGGACGTGGAACACAGAGGCAGGCTCGCAATCGGGCCTGTGTTAATACTTGCACGCCCCCTGACTGTATTAAACGTGAGGAGAGAACGGTCACTTGCACTCAAGCCCCGTGTCGTAAGTACAAAAAAACCCTTGTGCTTCAATGTCCTTCCTTGAAAGGAGGAGCTAAAATACAAATCCAGCAAGTCCGGTGAACAATGTGTTATTGTGAAACCAAAGTAAAAATGAACGTTTTATAATAGAAACCCCAATCACTCAACACCCCTCCACAACAATCAATGGTCGGTCATTATGTTTATGGCTAAATTCTATAGCTTACTATAGGTTCCTTCTAAAACCGTTGAAATGTCTGGAGCAGTGTAAACAATCACTCTAAAGTCATTCTGCAAATGAACAAGTGAACAGTCATGTATCGCACATTTGTTACATTTGACCACTTTCTAAATGGCATTGTGTATTCATTGTTTGAAACTGTCTAAAAGTAAACCTACTGTCAACAGTTTTGTATGTATATAACTGAAAACTGAAAGGTTACCTTTGAGTAATTTCCAAACAACCAAAATCAGTCACAGTTAATCTTTCTGATCTGATATCGTAACAATGTTCTGGTTATTATGATAACATGTACGTGTTCGTACAAGTACATTTAATATGAAAAACAATTGCAAGTCGAGACTCTGGATAGAACGATAAGTACCCAGCAACCTGTACTTATCGTGAGCGGCGACTAAACGAATCGGACGGTTAGGATCGGTGACTTGGTTGAAAGCATATCAACGTATCGCATCACAAATAATTGGATCGGTGCTCATCATGTCAATCACTGGAATGTCTGGTACAGACTGGACCATAACTGCCCGTCGTCATATAACTGGAATATTGCTGGATGCGGCGTTGAACAACAGACCTTTTCTTTTGCAGATACTGCTTGGACGACATGGAACAGATGGTCAGGAGCGTCGACATGGAACAGATGGTCAGGAGCGTCGACATGGAACAGATGGTCAGGAGCGTCGACATGGAACAGATGGTCAGGAGCGTCGACATGGAACAGATGGTCAGGAGGGTCGACATGGAACAGATGGTCAGGGTCGACAAGGAACAGACGGCGAGGGTCGACAAGGAACAGACGGCGAGGGTCGACAACGAACAGACGGCGAGGGTCATGGCGGCGTAGATTTTATTGGGGATAAAAACGTAAACGTTAGTAGATAAAAAAATGTTATGTGGTTGTTTTGTGCTACCCCAGCACAAATGCAACGTACATATATGTATAAATATGTATATCTGTCGATGATGAGGATAAAACTGATGGTCGTGATGATAAGGACATTGACATCAAGGCATAACATTTCTTATACTTTTCGGCCCGTCAGGATTTGAGGTAAAAGCGTAGGTCCCAAGCAACCTTATTGTTGTAAGATCGACTAAATAGATCGGGTAGTTTGGCTCGCTGACTTGATAAATTACATCTCGTATCTCAATTACGTGGATCGATTGTCAAGATATCAAACTGGACGATTTACAGTCCATGGGAGTACTGCTAAATGCGGCGTTAATAATCAAACACACAAACCTATGTTTGAGGCATAGTAAGCAGGCGCGTGAAATGAGACTGCTTCAAGACTTTGTTGGAATTTGACTGTTGACTCATTTTCCTACGAGGCCTACGTCACAAAGATAACTGACATTAGATATTATTCTTCCATGGACATAGACCCGTGAAGATCCGGGGTAGAATAGGTCTTCAGAAACCCATTCTTGCAGTAAAAGGCGACTGTGCTTGTCGTAAACGGGATCGGGAGGTCAGGCTCGCTGACTTGGTTGATGCATGTCACTGTATCCCGATTGCGTAGATCGATGCTCATGATGTCAGTCACTGGACTGTCTGGCTCAGACGTGATTATTTACAGACCGCTGTCATATAGCTCGAATATTGCTGGGTGCAGCGTTAACAACAAACAAACAAACAAGCAAACAAAAAATCCTAACACATGTCAACTGCAGTTATGCCAACAAACAAGGTCATCATTCGGGTAATTGCGACATGAAGTTGTAACATCTCTTGCATGTGGCGCAAGACAATATCTAACAGTGGTTTTGATCCATGGTATGTCAAAAGGCCAAGGTCACGAGACAAGACAATTCTAACAAATACGTTTTTGGTTACGCTTTCTCAAGGGTCAAGGTCAGTGTACAGGTTACCATTGTCGTAGTTTCAGGATAATGTTTATATTGCCCTCATGTCTACTTCACGTTGTATCTCACCGTCTCTGGTTGTAATGAATAAGAAAAATAATTTGTCTGTTGTTTAACGCCGCACTCATCAATATTCCAGCTATATGACGGCGGTCTGTATGTAAATAATCGAGTCTGCACCAGACAATACAGTGATTGATATCGTGAGCATGGATCCATCGTGTTATTTCGTCGTCATTTATACAATACATTAACTCTGTTGCAGATGACTAGACGGATCCATGCAGAAGCAACTATTCTGACACAGGTGTAAAACTTGCTCAAGCGATCCAAATAAAAGGTGCACCTCACAAAGTGTCAAGTTATTAATATTCTCCAACACCAAACGAGTGACTCGATTATGCCATGTTGCATTTTTGTTGCAACAAAATGCTTCATTGTCGCAGTTTATCTAGCCGTATTTATTCTGTTCAATGATGGGGCGGTAGGGTTACCATTCGTTTTGGGAATTTAACACGCAATGAAATTAATCGAACTTGACTATCAGATCTATGTACCTTGTATCACAAACACAGGCTGCTAAGGATCAACTCTAACCCGGAACCACCACAGAGGTCAGCTTACAGGGTCAAACGGCGACCATGAAATGACATTTGACTTCCCCTTAACTATGCCCCATTGCCATGAAACTAAATGATCCCCGTGGATATTCCGGGGAAATAAGTATCTGACGGTTTTCGTTCGAACCTTCACAATTGGGAACCCATCACAAACACATGCAAATGGAAGTCAATTGTTCACCTGCAATAAAGGGAACATATTGTAAGTCAAAATATGGAATTGCATTGGACATCATTTTTGTCACTGATGCGGAAATTTGTCTAACATAAAACATCTTGAAAGCTTTATTCGTAGCCTTCTTCTAAAACTTCTAAGCAAGAGCCTTATCATACTCTTTGACTCTTTGAAGAAAGAGCAAGCTGTACTATTGGACCATTGGAAAGTTGATGTCATCCCTCTTGTCATACAGTCGTGTGGAGATCTTTTTGCATAGATCTGTCACTGGTGTCCTTTATATCTAGTTCAGTTGGGTAAATCAGTGGCAGGATATTGGCTTTTTGATGGATATTGAGCGATATCAGATCATCGATTTATTGGAAGCCCAAGTTACACTTCTTGGTCAATTTTGTTTGTTTGTTCTTTAACGCCGCATTCAGCAATATTCCAGCTATATGACGGCGGTCTGTAAATAATCGAGTTTGGACCAGACAACCCAGTGATTGACGTTAGGTGCATTGATCCACGCGGTTGGGATACGAAGACATGCATCAACCAAGTCAGCGAGCCTGACCACCCGATCCCGTTAGTCGCCTTTTACGGCAAGCATGGGTTTCTGAAGAACTATTCTACCTCGGATCTTCACGGGTCCTTGATAGAATAATAACCTTCTGTTAACTAAGGCAATCCGAGCAGGAATTCTGATTCATATGCACAAAGAAACAGAACGGCAAAAGAGGGGAGCACAGTTGGTGCCCTTGGTGGATCCCTACTTCTTGCCTAAATGTCCTCCGCCAAAGTTATCAATGTCATCGGTGAGAAAGTCCAGCATAAAAGCATTTAAGTCCAACATTGTGACTTAACAGTATACTAAAGATGATATTTGCTTTCCTGAACCTCTGAAGATAGGTATGTAACCATGCCTCAGGACACCACGTTTTGTGAGAAAAGCCCAATGCATTGGCGGATACAGCCTTTTTAAAAGGGTGTGTGTGTGTGTGTGTGTGTGTGTGTGTGTGTGTGTGCACAATTAAGATCTATTTATTGGTGGTAATTTATACAGAAATAAAGATTTTTTTCGAAAAATGCAATGGATCTAGGAATGAAGTTTTCCCTTAAGTTTGTCGAATGGGATAGTGGCGTACAAAGTTGCAAAATGAAATGTTTTGATATATTTGAACATGGGAAAAAAGTCAAGCAAATCTTTAAAGTTTCTGACCATCCGCATGGGATGTTTTCCACTTGTCTCAAATACTTTCTTTGAATGTATTAAGGATTATGGTTAATATTCGAAACGGATTTGGTGGTAAATTTGCAGGACCCAGCAAAATCTCTCTTTGCACGGATGTTCATGGAGCTTTGAAATCCAGTATATAAGAGGAAGACATGTCAACGGGTTTTAGAGCCAAAACTTGATCGTGCTGATGCACCTTCTGCAGATTTTTTCCTCCTTTAATATACTGGCCTCATAGAGCTTGAATATTGCTGAGTGAAGCAGGAAACTGCAAACAAACCAAACAAACAAACAAAATGTACTGAGTTGCACAAACTCAGTCGTGAGAAGTATGTCTTAGATAAGCATGCAAACGTTTATCCATGTAACTCCAGTAGTTTCTGAGAAAACGTGTCACGCACTGGCAGGGATAGTAATGGACAGAGTTGTCTCCCTTGTATCATGATAGTGGAATGAAAACTGCTAACAGGGTTGATACAGTTATCTCCCTTGAATTGCAATATACCCCGACATATACAAATATACATTTGATTATGAAGGAAAACACTTACCACTCAAGGTATAAGGTAACCTGAAATACATCTCCAAAGAACACGTAGACATACATAGCATGATGAAGTAAGGTACCATGAAAATGCATATCCAGTCTTTTCCTAAGTGGTATTAAAACTAAGTTGATTTCTGAAATAAAGTATTATTTACAGACCGCCGTCATATAGCTGGACTATTGATGAGTGCGGCGTTAAACAACAAACACGCAAGCAACAACTATATTGTTAACAAGACTGTATGTGCATAACATACAAAACATTTGAAGTTTCTTATGTGACTATGCATCACTAGATTGAGCTTGATCCATCATTATAGACTTATTACTAATTAATGCATAGGAACACATTGATTGGCCTTGATAGGAAAATGACATCTTGTCACTGTAATAGGGGGCTAGTTAAATTAGTTAAACTTCAGTTAACTGTACACTTTGACATGAAAGTCATAGTAATGTTGTTTGTTGTTTAACGCCGCACTCAGCAATATTCCAGTTATATGCCGGTGGCCTGGACCAGACAATCCAGTGATTGGGATCGATGACATGCATCAACAAGTCAGCGAGCCTGACCACCCGATCCCGTTAGTCGCCTTTTACGACAAGCATGGGTTGCTGGAGACCTATTCTACCCCGGATCTTCACGGGTCCATAGTAACGTCACTTTAGTATATTAACATGAGGCAAAGGCCTAATGCATATTTTAGAAACTAATCCTAATGCCATAGATCTTCTGGTATGGGTGCAAAATCACCGGAAAGTTTGTGTAAAAAATTGTTTGGGGGTACAAAATCACCTCATTCGGTATAAAATACGACAAGCATGATACAGATAAAAGTCAAAGTGCAACTTGAGAAAAAAAGAAAGAAATGGTTTCGGCCTCAATGTCTAAATATGATCAAAATATATTATTCCCGTGGTACCAACTTACGAAGTGTAATGATGGAAGGTTGGAAAACGTCTTTGTTATTATTCGATCACATGCATTCCTTGCTACACACTTCGACCTTGTCTGCTACATATATATGTAAATTTAATGATGACAGCAGCTTAATGTCAAGTAAACCCCTCAACGCAACACTCACTTACTGCGACCAGGTACCTGCCAAGCCTCCTGTTGTTTCAAGGAGGTGATGATGGGTTGGTTGTTGGTTGGTTTGTTGTTTAACGCCGCACTCAGCAATATTCCAGCTTTATGACGGCGGTCTGTAAATAATCGAGTCTGGACCAGACAATCCAGTGATTAATATCATGAGCATCGATCCACGCATTTGGGATCCATGACATGCATCAACCAAGTCAGCGAGCCTGACCACCCCATCCCGTTAGTCGCCTTTTACGACATGCATAGTCGCCTTTTACGGCAAGCATGGGTTGCTGAAGACCAATTCTATCCCGGAATCTTCACGGTTTAATAAGAAGTATCAATTTCTGAA